CCGGTATCGTCTGTTGACACAAACCAGACGATGAAAATTTATACCGCGAAAATAGAGTGAAAATGAACAGAGAATAAGAGAGTGAGAGAAAAAAAAAAGGTATTGAAAAATCGATGGTACGTGTCGAATGTTTTCGTGGTAAAAAACGCTATCATCAAATGGACCAAGTATTTGACCATCAGTTCTGTGTATGTGTGTTTGTTCAGCAGTCTAATAAATAAGCGAACGAGTTTTCAGCATTTTCGGTTTGGTGAAAAGTAGCCAAATTTGTCGAATCACTTTTTCGTTTTACTTGATCGACGTCTATAGCTAATGAAAGTACTAATAAGTTGTTTCCTCGTTCGTTAGAAAATGATTTTATGTTAAACTTTGTTGGTGTGAGACAAGAGAGAGTTGTTCATCGATCGAGTGTAAAACTCAAACGAGACACGTACGTTCGTTTGTTATATTTAGAGATTTCAAAGTTGACTTTGGTACTATGTACATAGTACGCCCCATGGTACGTGTTGATTATTTGACGGTCAATTTCATTCCAATGTGAAATATAATAAATCTAAAACTTTGATTCACACACAATAAATTGTAATATTTAACACGCGTGAATTTGTGGGAACATTCGATCTTATCGTATAATTAATTAAACCATTTTATAATTGGAGTGTACTTTCATTCAACTACTAGATTAAAAAACGAAAATACTTTACTATCAATTAAGTACTTTTGATTACTGGTTCAATTGTCTAATTAATAAATGATAATAATTTAATTATATATTTCAAGCGTGATAACGTGTTGTACACGATAATGAACATTCATTTTCTATCGATATATTTATTATTCAACTGAATGCTCGATCTTCTTCGAAATTTGATTGCCTTATTCACATATACAATACACTCACATATCTATTAAAAAAATTATTTTAATTATACCAATTGGTACTATGCCAAAAGAGTTACTATCTGGTAAATATTCGAGACTTGAAAGAAAAAAAAGAAGTAGAAAGAAAATAAACCAAACAAAGAAAGAACACTAGCCTTGACGAGAAAAAAATAACCGAGGGTTGTGGTCATAAGGATTTCGTAATTATCACGTCGATATTCATTATTTAAGCATGTTGGAAGTTCATTATCACTTGATCTTTCTCTCTCTTTCCCTCATTTCGTACATTTTCTCATTCATAGACTTTCGTGAAGTGTCAACGTGTGTAGAAAATCTATGTAGCGTGAAAGATGTAAAGAAGGAAAAAAGTTAAGTTTGTTGGTGGTGGTAGTGGTCGTAGTTGTAGTGGTGGTAGTGGTAGTAGTGGTGGTAGTGGTAGTAGTGGTGGTGGTAGTATGGAAGGAAGGCAGGGAAAGGAGTATGACGAGCGTTTAAAAAAATGTTTCCACAGTATTCAGTCAGTCACGTCGGAGTGCAAACGCTCGCGGCTGTAGTATCAACATCAGCAACTGTATTAGTAGCAGTAACACGCACGAAACTTATCTCTTTCTTTTTCTCTCTCTCTTTCTTTTTATTTTTGAACGTATGTGCTAGGATGTTAGTGCGTAGCTCGTCAAAAAGGGAAAGCTCGCTTGAATTTTGCATGCAAATATACTCGGAAAAGAGAACGGGCTAGACATGTCCGCTTTAAGGACACCGTTGCATTGCAACGAACTGTGCTTGTCGTCAAAGAAAAACTTTCTTTCTCTTTCTTTTTTTCTATTTCTTTCTCTCTCTCTCTCTCTCTCTCTTTTTATCTTTATTTTTATTTTATTTTTTATCTCCCTTTTTTTCATCCTACGTCCGTATATGTTCAGATGTATGTATTAACGTTCACACATACCACACATACGCATATAGGTATACACATTTAAAGTGTATCTTCGTGATATTACGTTATAGGTTGAAAGGTGTGAAAACTGACACGTTCGTGGCATAAACCATTACTTTTTTTATCCTTTCCCTTTTTTGTTGTCTTTTATTTCTCTCTCTCTCTCTCTCTCTTTTCCCTTTTTCTATCCTCTATTAAATGCTATATTCCTGTCATTCTTTCAAAAATTATACTAAACATTTTCTATCTTTTTTTCTTTTTATTATTATTAAAGATCGAATATTATAATTTTATAATTGCAGATTTGATTGAAATAGATTTTTGTAAAAGGTGGTTATAATTATTCATACTTTTTACAGGTTTATGCTTTTACTACTGATCTGTCTGACTTGAACAGATCTATACCTACTTAAAATCTAAATACTCGTATTCGCTCGCTAACGATTTATTTTATTACTAATTTTATTTGGAATTTTATTTTATAAACTTATGAATATTGTATAATAGATGCATTAACATACTTATTTTAATCATCGTATTCAATTTTATTTAATTTTTCTAAGTATTATCGTTGAAATTATTTTAAGTATCTCCCCGATGTTTTAGATATGTTCATAGTGTGCGTGTTTGTGTATCAGTAATTTTTCAAATTTAATTAAAATGGATTATAACAAGTAACACCAGGGACCTACTATTATCACTATATTTATCATTTATTCGTTATGTAGCTCATATTTAACTAAAAATTTCGTTAGGGATTATATTCAATTATGGTGGAATGTTTATCTAGTATCTACCTACCTGCCTGCTTACCTGTTTACATACGTGAGATTGCTTAAAGCCAATTTGATATTTCAATTGGGAATAATTCCAGGCTAATCAATTAGCCAATTAATTTCATACCAAGCGTTTTCGTGGAACGATAAGCATTCTATAATATAATGCGTGTTTCAACATATGGATATTATTCTATAGGTTTCGATAGTTTACTGTTTATATTGCAGTGAACATACACTGAAACATATTTTATCAATATACTAAAATAAACTAAAAAGAAATTCAATTATTTATTCGCATTGTTATCGTTTATTGAGCCGAGTCTAAACGATGAACAAAAAATTCGTTAGATTTTGATTATTTTTTAATTAAAAATCACAAATACGTTATTTCTCTTTTTCATGTTAACTTTATACTGAATTACAATGAATTCAATTATTTATTCGAAACGTTATTGTTTATAGAATTTTATTCCGTACGGTACATGCGAAAATTTCATTAGATTTTATTTATTTATTTATTTTTATTATTATTATTATTTTTTTTTTTAATTAAAAAACATATATAGAGGTGTTCTTTTTCTGTTATGTCAACTTTAGATCGAACTACGTTCGAAGAATCGACAAATTCAATTGGCTGGCTACATTTCGATCTGACTTGAGTATTCACGTTGGTTTTGTTGTTCGGTGATTGTCGAGAAATTGCATATCGTACGATACGTGCTCTCTTGAGAATTTCACAGTATGTATAGATGTAAATACATAGGTATAACGATAGTATGTACGTATACATATGTATACATATATACGTACATGTAGAACGTGATCGTAAGAATAAGAAAATTTCGAATGATTATGTTAGAATGGAAAATGTGTTTTGTCTTGATAAAAATATTTATAAAATAAATATATTATTTCTTACAAAATTGTTCTAATCATAATACAAAATTCCAAGGGTATAATATATTTCTATTTTATTTCTATTCATACTATCCTACCTACTTTACACATAAAATTTATTTTTATATTTATTATAGACTTATGCGTGTTTATTTTTTTCTTTGCATATAAATTCGAATTTGCGTAGATTAGATTTCGAATAAAAATAATAGAATTCAATCTAGGCTGATAGAAATGATTTTGGAAAAGTTTAAATGTAAATCATTTTTCATAGTATTTCATAGGTTTGACAATTGGAAATCCTAGCAAACGTTGTAGGTGTAAATATTTATGTTCAGATTGTAATCGTCGATAGGAATCCAATGAATCACGTCATATAAAACGGTCGATCTCGTTCTATCGGACAACACACATACACACATACACACATACACAAACAAATACACATACAAATGGCTCAATGCTATCTACTCCATTGTGAGGTTTATGGTTCTTTACTGCAAGCTTCCGTTCTTTTTCCAGGAGATTCGCACACTTTCACGGATAACGGCCTCGATAGATTACTCCGTGGAACTCGAAACCTTTTCGTATCTCTTCCGGAGTTACTCTTACTATGTGCAAGAAAAAGAAAGAGAGAAAGAGAGAGAGAGAGAGAGTAGAAATGCTTTTTGAAGCATCGAAGATATTAGAAGGGCGTATGTAGTGAAAGGTAAAATTGATTTTCTCGTTGCGTCACATCTGTTGGTGTCCTTCAAAAAACATAAAATAAAATAAAAAATAAGAGAAAAAATAAGAGAAAAGAAAAGAATTCAAGGAAAGAAAAAATAAAAAATAAAACTATTCGCGAAAAATTTCTCTAAAGTATTATCTACTTGCTTGTTTATTTAAATTACAATAATTTTGTTGAAATTTGTAATCCGTGATAATGTAAAAATATTCTTAAATGCTAAATAATATATGATGAGCTTATCAGAATGTATCCTTTTGTTCATTGAAATAAAGCCGATCTAATTTTCTCAGTGAGTTCGGCTCGGTTCGTGTCGCGTGTTACGAACTGGCACTTAATTACATCCGAATTCAACACAATTAGTGGGGGATGCAGTGAGTAAAACGGAAACACGAGCTAGCGTTTACATTTGGCTTTCATAGATTTCGCGATAGAGGGGAAGTCGTGTAGTGCAGTGTTGTGTTGTTGTTGTTGTTGTTGTTGTTGTTGTGTTGTTGTAGATCCTGCAAATTTTCGATACGAATGGAGAATAATTATGGTATTATGTACAACTTCGTATATTAGATCGAATGCAAAATTGTGCGATTCATATGAAGTATAATATCACATTTTGTTTCATATTAAACATGGTCGTCTCATTTCTAATCACACACACACAAAAGTAATTTATAATGAGTTACCAAAAATATTATTTTAAAATTCAAGGTTTTTATGAACGAATGAACATGACGATGATACTTGAATGATAATGTTATATTAATTATAATTAATTTAATATACCTACCGTTTTCACGATCAGTTTAAAGATGAACGAATGATTGAAGTTGAATTAATCATGCGATTATAATCAGATAAATAATCACTCACTGATTTATTTCTATCAGTTTTTATCGATCACTATTATAATTTAAAGGTTTGATATATTATTTTTATGAATTCACGAACACACACATTGTTGCACATTAAATGTTGATGATATTTTTGGTTTGTTTGGTTTAATTTTTTAAAGTTTTCTTTTTTTTTCGTATGTTTCTGAACGATGTATGTATCGAAAGACACATGAAATATATTCAAGATAAAAGTATTCGTTCGTTCTTAGCAGTAGTTCCACTATGCTGATGGCGGCTCTGCCACGTACTGATCTAAATTTGTCGTGGATCAACCTAAATACATTCCACGTCTTCCCTCGTTCGTTTCGTTCGTTCGTTCCAATGAACGTATATATACACGCACGTTCATTCTAGAAAGTATTAAAAATAATATGTAATGGAAAAAAAAAAGGAATTTATTCATATATTTTTTACGTTATATAAAATATACGCTTTTATTTTTATTTTTCGCTTTAAAATATTCTAGGTAAAAAAAAAAAGAAAAAAAGAACAAAAGAGAGAAACCTTCACGTACTTCGAATTCCCAATTTATTAATTAAGAATTTGATTAAAATTTTCAAACACGAACCAATTATGAACGATTCGATTGATAAAAAAAATTGTCAAATGTTCCAATGAAACATAAGGAGAGAAGGAGAGAGAGAAAGATGACCAATTATAAGACTATTACGTATTCGAATTGTCGATAAAACACTTGACGCAAATTAAAAAGTTTACGGACGTTGGTTGACACGAAAATGTTTCTCATTGTCTCGTAGTTTTACTAGACGATGACGAGGGAGAAAAAGAAAAAAAAAAAAGAAAAAAAAAGGAACAAGAAAAACGAAACGATATATAAAACAGGGAAAGATGAAGTGAAGGGAGAGAAAAAGGGAGAAAGTATGGAAGGAAAGTCGGTAGAGGTGTTCGGAGAACGGGAATAGAGTGAGGGAGAAAAATGGGAAAAGGAGGAGGGTTGGTTTGAGGGGTGAAACTCTCACGAAACGAATTTGATGCGCGAATTAATTAGTCGCGTGGAATACCGGTCATTATAACCGGCATGCGACTACTAATTTCATTAGCTACTCGCGTTGGCGTACCAGAAGTACTAATTGGTTAATTACGAAAGTAAAGGCGTATGTATCCCATATACATCGTCACTCTCATTTCTCTCTCTTTTTCTTTCCCTTTCTCTTTTTCTTTCTATTTCTCTTTCTCTTTCTCACTCACACAATATTTTCTTCTTCTTTTTTTTTCTTTTTTACTTTTAGGACGAGACGCGAACGAGATTTCATTATATCGAATACACGTATTCGTTTAATCGAGTTTTAATCACGAGAAACGAATCAAAAAATACGTTTCAAAGTTATACGAAAAAACATTTAATAGATTTGAAAATATGTTTCAAAAGGTATAGAATTGTAACTTTGAATGTTTTCAAGCGTAAACGAAATTCGTCCGGTCTTTTCGGGAGGAGTTCGTGTCTAGCAAATTTTGTCGTAACTATGTATATGTACCTTTTGTTTATTTTTATTTTTCTTTTTCTTTTCTAAGTCTTTCTTTGCGTCTGTTTTTCTTTTTCAAATGTTGCATTGATTCTTCAAAGCAACTTCGAATATTAATTAGTAAGTAATGTAACATAATGTCACTTCGTTTTGTTTGATATTATTATTTATTCTTTATATTTTATAATTTGTTCAATTAGCGGTATATTTTTAGTAAATAAACAAGCTCAAAGATTAATCTTACATAAATATATATTCTTATTTTTCTTTTTATCTCTTTATTTTATTGGTAGAAATTGTAATAACAAATTAGAATGATTTTTTATGGCAAGATTATTATTAGAACGAATTTTATTTTGCCATATTTTTATGTAGACAAAAATTATTATATTATTATAAAGACGTCAACTTTTTGTATGATACAAAAAGTAAGAAAAGATAAATCTTTGCTTTATATATTTTTTTTTATTATATACATAAGGATTTGTTTGTTTAAAAAATCAGACTGAGCCAGCCGGAAGTTGTTAGACTCTTTTTGAGGTCTTTTTTTTCCTTTTTAATTTTTTCTCGTTTTAAATGCGAAGATGGCATGAAGTAAACCAGTTACGTTTTGACTATCAATCACTTTTGGACGAAATAGCACACACGTATTCGAAAGTTTTCTTATTCTTTTTCTTCTTCTTTTTCTTCTTGCCTCGAAGAAGGATTCCGTGGACTTTCGAGTAGCAAATTAAAATCGATCGAAGTTCAAAGCGTTCGAATTCGCTTACTTTACAGAAACCAGCTCGTATTACTTTGTCAATGTCGTTTGCAAACGTCGAACGTGACCGTTGCTTTCCACCCTTTTTGTCACTTTTACCTTTCCAAATCTTCGTCTTTAAGTGTCTTGAAAAAAATATAATCAATTTCAAAAATTTGTAAAAAAAGAAAATTTATTCGGCGAAAAGGAAACATCGAACAATCGAACAAATTATATTTATTTGAAATGATAGTAAACGAAAAGAAATTTATTGATAAATAATTAACAAGTAGTTAATTTCGCAAGTCTTCTTTTTCATATTTTGTTAATTTTTTATTATTAATAATTAATAATCAGTTAAAATAATTATTTACTCTATAAAAAGTTAATTTACAAGTTGTAATATGATATGTGTTTCATTCAAAGTTCACTTAAATTGTAATTAAATATACAACAAAAAATTGATAAATATTTCGAAATAAATTTCACGAAAATCATGGTAAAGTGAATTAAAAAAAAAAAATAATAAAAGAAAAGTGAATATTCAAAATCGTTCGAATCGAAAATAATTATTAATTTTAATTGACGATGAAATCGTTTAAGATATTCAAGAATTTCGCATGTGGTTTTAAATAAATCATCGTATCTATATGCCCATGGTAGGAAAGTTAGAACACTAGTTTACGAAATGTTACGCCGATGAATTTTTTATTCTAGTTTCACGGCTCCGCGTGCTACCGGAGGTTGACACCATAACTCTTCTATGGTTTCGTGGTCTGCATGTACTAGTTTGGGGGTTAAATGTTTCAAAACGTATTGCCTTGCGTGATATTAAAAGAAAGAAATGAAAATATAATTATAAAAGAAGAAACAAACGAACCAAAGCGAAGAAAATTCATAGCAGAGTTTTAATAAAAATTATCATCTATTTTGAATTCTGGTCAGGAAACACGAGTTGACCTTTACGTGAGTGTTTGGAAACGTTTAAAAAGGTTTCCATTAAAAAAGGGAAAGTGTTGGTGGTGGAAATAAGATTTAAAGTGTTAAGGGAGATAAAATTTGTTTTTATTTTAAATATGAAATGAGAAGTTTCAAATAAATTTTCATATTTTTTATTGTAGATTCTTGCATGTTTATGCTAATTAAATAACCATTCGTGAAAAAGTTGATTAACGGTTCTGAGCCCTGGTTTTTTTAGTTCAGTGATCCAATATTTTCACACGAATCTTATATTATTTACTTATAATTTGAAGACTTAAAATTTAAAGAAAGTTTAAATTTCATTCTCATACTTTTAATATTTTCCTCTTGTGAATTTATATATGTATCCTAGTTATTTCTTAAAACAACTAGTTTAAATGTATAGTGAAATTATTTTTGTATGCTTTCCCTAAAACGCCCTATTATTTCATGTAAGATTTAGGTTTTTCACGATTTAACTGAAGTATAAAATATAACGGTAGCTTATATAAAAAACTAAACGAATTTAAATAACTTTCCAAAGATTTCGCGTTAAACTTTATTTGAATTTGCGGGAGATATCATTTATTTTTATAATTATTCCAACAATATTTTTTCACAATTTTGGTCTATTTCTAAACCATTTCTATATATTGCTTTGGTCGGAATTTTTTCTCAGTTAAAAATGGTAGTACAGTAATGGGGGTTAATTTCATTAAATGAAAATTCGATAAAACTTACGAACCTCCAGTTTTTCATGTAAGCTGCTAAAATATTTGTCGAATTTCAGCAGACTCAACCTTTTTCGGATTTGATTATGAATTCTAATTAAAAGACGTAAATCGGGAAATGGTTAGAATGTACTCAAAGAAAAAGGAAGGGAAATTCGAGGATTAAAAGTATCGTTTAACGTGTTCAAAATCCTAATCTTAATTTCATCTATCTCCTTTTTTATTTTATTTACGGTTCCTTCTTCTTGATTCTCACATTTTCATCTAACCTTTTTCTTTTCAATTTCTTTTTCTTCGTATATTTGGTTTAAACCGTTCATTTATCTACGTACTTTTCATTCGTTTCTCACTTATAAATAAATTTTCTATCTCTTTTCTTCGTAAATTTATCTATATATTTCTTTTCTTTATTTTACTTTTTTTCCCAACATTTTTATCCTTATATTCTAAAACGAGTTTATCGTGCATTCATGAAACATGGGATGAAAGTCGAGTAAATCGTCGTATTTTTCAAAAAAATTCGTCCTTCTTTTTTGTAGGAAAACTTCTGTAGGATAAATTCGAAATACCGAATCCTTGTTGAAAGATTCCAGGAAATAATTCGTCTAACTATACTTCCAATTTTAATTCTGAATTATTACACATACATACATACATGTATATAGAATATATTTCATAGAATCGAATTGTTTTAAAAAGGATTACCATTCTTTTCAAACATTTGCAAGTCGAAGAAAAAATATTGCTGAACATTTTTATTCGTATAAAAAAATTATTTCTCCCAAACTTTAAAAATAGATACTGTGAAACTATTCTAATGAAATTTTTTCATTTGAGTTAGAATTAATTTTAAATAGTGCGATTATATAAATAAATTTTCAAATTGTAACTTGTCATAAATAAAAAAAAAAATTGTTCCTGACAGCTGTCAACATTTTGTGGTACCGATAAAGATGTCAGTTTACAATGATTTTCTTGGATCAAAAAAAAAAAGAAAAAAAGAAAGAGAGTTAAAGTGTGAGAGAGAGAGAGAGAGAGAGAGAGAGAGAGAGAGAGATATGTAAAAAAAAAGGTATGAGAAAATCTTTAGAGTGACAGCTACTTTGAGTTTGAAAGTTCTCGTTACTTTGCCTTCGGATCGGCTTTGGGCCCAAGCAAACTAGTAACAGCAAGACGAGTTCAACGTCGTTACGATCGTCACTATTTTCCTATCAATGCATTTCTATCCTTCTTGAAGAGAGGATGTTAAGCGAAGGAAAAATCCTATATGGATGCAACCCCGGTACAAACGATCCCTTGAAAAACGATCTTTCCAAAGCTTC